GGAAGTGTATCCTGCTTTTTTTTTTTTTCCAGAAAGAAGATTTTTTATATAAAGGTCTCTCTTTAGTCTGCTGCTGCTGCAAAAAAGGTGCTTTTCTTTTGGTTTCTAGTAGGTGGTCTCTAAGCCTCTTGGATCCCTGCTTTATATAAAGCCTTAAAAATTCCTTTTTATTTTCTGACAGATATTTAATCATGCTTGCTACCCTCAGTTTCAGTGCTTTTCAGTGTTTGCAACAGTTTCAGTAGCATTTGCTCAGTTTCCCCTGGGGCTTCATGCTGTTCAATCTCGGAAGGTATGGGGGGACGTGCCCTCTGGGTTGGGTTGAGGGCTGCGGCTCAGCCTTGGTTTTGCAACCTCAGCTGGTAAAAATCAACTATTGTTTTTCTGCCGTACCTCTTCTCTGCCTTCTGCCCTAATGATTGGTTCCTGCCTCTGGCTGGCCACAGGGAGCTCACAGCTTTCCCAAGCAGGGCTGTTCAAAGAACTCACCACTCCTTCTCTCCTCTTCCTCCTCCTATAGGGAACTCCGGCAGCTGCAAGAGTCGGCTTCTTTATTTCTCCCAGTTCACTGCCTGATTACCAGTGCTCTGGCCTGTGGTAGCTCTTCTGCGCAGATCCCATGCTCAGAAGTGCTGGTGTGCAGTTTGGGTGTTTTTTTGTTGTTGAGTTTTAGATGTTCAGCTTATTGTTGTTTCAAGGGGAGAGATCTGGGGACGACTGTCACTCTGCCACATTTTCAAAGATCCCATGCTAATTTTTTTTTTAAGTCAAATAAACAAAGCTTTTTTTTTTAATCCAATTCTGGAGAAGGCATCCCAAAAGGCTGAATTCGGAGATCTAATTTGCCTCTCATAACCAGAACATTTACATGTAAGACAACAAGGCAAATACTAATGTACACATAAATATCAAAATCCAACTCCTGGAAGACAGAAACTAAAGGATGGACATTATGATCCCATAGACTCTAGCCCACTGAAAACACTTTCAGTGACCTAGGGTTCCTTGACATCCAGACAACTTGGAGGATTCTTTGAAAACCAGACAATCCGGCCAGAGATTGTCATCTGAGGATGTCTGGGATTGCCCCGCAGGCATCCCTCAACCCTCCAGAGTTAGACCTAGGTTGGGCCCTGAATCCAGCATCCTGGAGGAAACAGTTCCTTCCCAACAAACCTGAAACCAAGCGCGCACAAGTAATCAAACAATTCTTCCAACAACCCTATACCAAAATGGGAATAGAAACACTAATTAAAGTAACCACGGGGGTTCACCTATCCACATCCCTTCTGAAGCACTGAATTAAACAGGTTCAGGTGGACACTTTGCTTCACTGTTGAGGTGGGCCAGGCAGCTGTTCCGGTGGTCAGCACCAAACAGCTGTCTCCTAAAGAACAGATCCCTTGTTCACTGGAGATGCAGACAAGTAAGCTCCGAATGAGATGCCACTGCCGATTGCTTAGCCAATCGTTTACACCAGACCAACGGAGAGTCCTTTTAGGAGAGTCCCACCTGAGTCATCAAATTTGTTATGGAATTCAAGGGTTTTGTCACTTGGGTTGCTCTAATCAAGAAGGGAGGCTTAGCCATTGCTTATATACACTCTTTGGTTAATAGCATGTTGATTTCTTCTTTGTAGTGGGCTAAACTTTTCTGGTTGGGTTCTGGTTAAGCTCATCAGGTTACAACTGCATCTGCAAAATACTGTGCTACATTTGATATTTAACAAGAATAACATTTAGTAAGAACTGTCCAGATCTTAAGACTCTTGTCCTATCTAACACTATGACATAGGTGTTATTATGTGATGTATGAGAAAATTGAGGTGTATAAATTCACACCTGTCTTTTGTAGGTATGCCCTGTGTATGAATGATTAGCACAGGGCTGGTCCATTGTAGGCTCTCAAGAAATGGTGGCCAGTATTACTCTGCTAGAATGCATTACTATGCTACAGAAGGATGGGGAAAAATTAAATGTTGTCCATGCCATGTAGACAGTGTTTATTTAGTGTTAATTTAATGATGTGATGGTATGGCTCCAGGAGCTACACTAAGAGTGGCCCTTGACAGGCACTGGAGTACATTCAGAAATGCCTGAGAGTTTAACAATGATGACAATGATGGGATGATAAGGGAACCCTCATTGAATGCTGAGGTGGATTTTGCCTAGTTTTGTGTGTCCCCAGAAACTGTCTCCTTCCTCCACTTGTCAGAGGCACCCCTCACCCTTTCAGATAGCTCAAGACTAGCCAAATTGTCTCCCACCCAATCACTGCCCTGAATGACATATGGGAGCTAAGGGCAAGGGGGAGCTGATCTCAGAGGGACACAGAGGCTCCTCAGTGTGTGGTGGGAAGGAGACATGACTGAGGTCTGAGGAATCCTTTACAATCCAGGTAACTTTGAAATCCTGTCATTAATGGGGATATCAGGGGTAGGATAAAAGGGGGCAGAGAGAGTGGGGCTGGGCTTCATGCATCCTGAAGGGATGTGTGGATTCCCAGCTGCAGCATCTCATCTCAGACCAGAACTCACAACTTATTATAGCCTCTCACAACTGCTACCACAGGTATGTGCCATTTCACCATCCCCGTTTTACAGACCAAGACACTGAAGCACACAAAGTCATAGTAACTTGCCTAAGATCGGACAGATAATAAGGGTTGGAGCTGGAATCGAAAATCAGATCTACTCTTCCCCAGGGCCAGAAGTCTACTGTTGTGCTGTAAAGTCCTCTCTAATTTAATGGCTACAAAATATCTGCTCCTTCTATTAGCTGCTGGGTACAGATTTCTGAATTGCCATACTCACACCTAAAGTCTGCACATCAGGATGACCTTGATCTCATTTCTTTTATTGAACAAGACAGACAAAAAAAAATTAACTTAGGAAACTTCTTTCTCAGAGCCTCAAACCACATTCTCCTAATATTTATTCATATATCCAATTGCTGGGATAAGATTCTAAAAGTAATAAACTGTTGGTAGAGATGTGGGGGCAAAGAGTCTCTCTCCCACACTGTTGGTAGGGCTGAGAATTGACACATTCTTTCTGGAAGGCCAACTAGTAAATGTAACAAAGGCAGGCACTTTAGTCTGCTTAGTTCACTGGTGGACCCCCAGCTTCTAGAACACTGCCTACAACATAAGCTGGCTCTCAATCAATGTTTATGGCTGGAATGAATGAAGTGCCTGGCACTCAGTGAATGGCAGCCTTTATTATTGCTGCTCTCCCAGCACAGGTGCTGCTGGAGAGGAGCTAGTCAATGAGATAACAGTTCACACTGCTGAACTGACATCCGTCTAGTTGATGAGATCAGAAACCTGGGAGACATTCTAGATCAATTGCTTCTCACTCTCCCAAGCTGCCAATTATTATTTAGACCATTCACTCCTAACATGGCAGAAAGTGAGAGATGGGTTTCTTTGTAGTTTCACCCATGTCATATCAGCAAAACTTAGGTTTAGGTGTTTCAAATTCTCAGTCACTCCATATGCATTTGCAAATATTAAAATCAATATAGCCCCTGTGGCTATATTGAGACACAGGTTATGCTTCCATTACAGTAAGTTTATTGCAGTGGTGACAATGAGACCTATAACATTTCTTTTGCTAAAAATTAAATAAAATAAAGTAAATTAAATATAATTGCCCTGTGAAATATGAATGTTTTAGGTACCGTTTGGTATTTTCTTTCTATTAAAGAATAATTGAGAGTAATAATAAAGTATATTATTTTCAATTGCTATGTGTCGAACACATCAATAATGCAGTAAGAATTATTAACTTCATTTTAGAGAACACAAGTAAGTCTCAGTAAGAGATAGAAACAAGACTAAGGTTACATAGCCAATAAACAGATGGTAAGTCTGATACCAAAGTTTGTGAACTTTCCATTATATATTTCAAGTAAAAGTACTGACATTACTGAGAAAAAGTGTATTGCATTGGAAGATCAGTTATAGGGGCAGAGGTAATTGGCAGATATAAATATTTGATAGTTTCCTGTTTGTCAAACACAGGTTAAAGCTTTTTGAAAGTTTGTGAGTAAAATACTTAAATTTTACTAGAGTTTGATTTTAATATCCCGAATGGATCAAGATATAATTTAGTTTAGGAAAATATAATTGAAAATAGAATCTCTTTAGTATCGTTGCTATTTGAAACTCAAGGAATGACATGTAAAGTTTTTCCTTTTCGGTCTGCCAGAATGTTTTATAAAACTATTTTATTTATTAAGTAATTTTAGAGTTGTTATAAAAGTAGAATATTTAAAATATCGCCAAACTATGTAAAATCGTTTACATGGTTAATATTTAAATAGCCATAAAAGTATACAGAAAGAAAATTTAAACCACAGGTAACACTGAACATGTTGGCATATTTCTTTGAAATCTTTTTTATAATTCTGTATGAGTGTAGATATATGTATAAATTACTTTATTGAGGTTACACATTCTATAGTTTTACATATGACGTGGTTATGTTTTGTTCTTTTTTTATTAATAAATGTAATAATTTCAAGAGCAGAAAATAAAGATTGTTTGGCAAAAAGAGGAGTAAAGGGAGAATAAAGCCTGAGCAAATATAAAAACATAACCCCCAAAAAACTACAAGAAATAAACACTGTGTTGTTACTGGCTGACAAATACCAGTTATTAATGGTAGTATGTATGATTATTTCCATAGAAAAAAAGGCAAAAGAATTGGTGGAAACATCTGAAAATAAAATAATGAGGGACATTAATATAAAATCTGAAAGACCTAGGAAAAGAAAATGATAAAACTCTTTTGAGTGCACTATTAGATTTGAAAGGAGAGAATTCGAGCTTAGAGGATGGTGAGCATGGTAGCTGAGGGAGAGAGGAAGACATCACCATAAAATCACCTACGCCCCAGTCACATCACAGGCTGACTGCACAATTACAATGCAGAGACCCTTTGCCCTACTACACTTGCACAGTAGCTCACCGGGAATAAAACAAATATGATGACAGCCAGGGGTGAGACAGGGGACATTTTGGAACACAAAGGACCGTATAATCCAAGAGGTCAGAAATGGCTTCTCATAGGGGTTGATGTATGGGCCATAAGACTAGTATCCATAGCAACTGAAAGCTCAAAGAAAAGGATCGGAACTCCAACCAGTGTGAAACCTATGTACGTCACCATTGCTGTCAGAGAGCCCCAAGCAGGAGATTCAAGAGGCCTCAGAAGAGCACATTGTTTCCAAGTAGAAGGTCTTGAGCTATGGTGGTGACATCTCAGCCTCCTCTGGATCTCTGTGGAGCCTTAAAAACTGTCAAATGCTGGTTCCCTGAATATTACCAACACACTTGTTGATATGACAAAGCTGAATTTATTGTTTACCTGAGTAAGGGAGAACCCCATCTCTCAAAGTTGTGGTGTTTCAGGGAGGAAAGGAAAGGTCAGAATTTACTGAGAAATAGAAGTTTGGTTTAAGGCAGAGGCTCTTTCAACCCCGTGATTTGATTAGGATTGGGTAAGGATCATGACACCAACTGTAACACAGGAGCCCCAGACCTGGAACTTGCACCTGAGTTTGGATATTCCGGAAAAACCACCAGTAGGACCAGAGTGGTGAGAAATGTTGTTTGTTACTCACGAGGCAGTGGCAGCGGTCGGAGCTGCAGGAAGAAAAACTGCTGCTGATCAAGAGCAGCAGAGCTTTTTATGCCCACAAGCAGAGGGAGGGATTATCTTATTGGAGGAGCAGCCTCCTTCTCAGATGGATGGGAGCTAGATGTGCTGCTTGGTTACAGGAGCAGATAACGTCCACAGGAGCAGCAGACAATGTCTTTGGGAGCAGGCACTGCTGAAAGCTCTTTGTGTGCTATCTTCCTTGGCTGCTGGCTGGGCAGCTGTCAGTCTCCTGAGTATGTGGAAGAGCTATGTTCTGAGTTAACCCTACACCAACAGTCTAAGATTTGTGAAAGCAACAAAGGGAGGATTTTAAGGAGAGAGATTCAAAAAATTTTAGGGCACAAACTGTTGATGCTTTCCATTTCTTGAAGAGTTGATGGGTCTTTGGAGAAGTTCCTGTAATGAAGAAAGTATTTGGCTGGACAGGGGAATCTTGGAAAATACCAATGGTAACAGTGGACTAGGAAAGTCACATTTATGTACGGGGTGGTTTTGTTTCTGTGCCCCGGCTGAGTATGTGGATAAACTGTTTTGATCCTTATATATAGCATTTTAATGACTAATAACCTTAGGTATGTGTCTATTTTGTGATGTCAAAGTCCTTTAGTTTTCCTGAATCTCAAGGAAAGATGACAGCTACTCTTAGGTGTGTGTTAAGCCCTGAGAAACAAATTAAATCTCTTTCAGCAGTCCATTCAAACCTTTAGGTGGATATTTTATTTAATCCTCACAAACACGATGCAAAATAGGCACTATTATTTATCTCTATTTTATAGAGAAAGAAACGGAGGCTACGGCATGTAATAATTAGCTCACATTCATGTGGCTACAAATACATTTATTTCCAGAAAGATCAAGAAAAACTACCCTCAAGAAAACTACCTTATTCTGTTCCATTGTGCAGAAAGGAGCTGGGTTCCAGGTTCAAGGTAATGATTTGGCCATTCTGTCAGAAGGGTGTAAGACTAAGGCCTTCACCTACTCCAATCTGGGTCTGGGTTGGCTCCCGTCGGCTTCACGAGGACGCGCAGTCCCTGCAGCACAGCCGTTTTCGGTACAGAGTCTTCGGCCTGGGCCAGCGCTACTACGCAGATCAGAAGCCACTGGTTCACTGGTCTGCGCAAGCTCCGGCACGCTGGTGTCCGCGGCGCCTGCTTTGCCCTTTTCTGGTTGCCAGGGGGCCCTACGACACAATCGTAAGTGCGGGGGGTGTGGAGAGTGGAAGGGCGACGGCAGCCACGTGACCAGGGAGCCGTGCGCAGGCTAGTAGGGGACCGCCATCTGGAGGCCAGGACGGCTGCGAGCGAGCTCAGATTGCTCCCCTAACTCCACCGCCTTCTCCTTTCGCTCTGCGTGGGCCACACGGTGAGGCTGCAGCGGTGAACGCGACTGAAGTTCTGACACACGTATCTGTAACATCCTGGCGACTCTGACAAGCAGCCGCGTGAGTTTCCCGAACACCGGAAGGCCCTGGGAGGAGACACTTCACCCTGATTTGTGGCATTTCTTGCCCTTCCCGCAACGCAAAGGAGGGACTTGGTCCCAGCCTTCCCCCTAGCTCGGAGCGGTGCTGTTACATCCCGGTTACACCTCCCCACCGCCCTTGGAAAGGTGTGCTTTCCCCTGGAGTACCCCCCGCGGGAGCGGGCTTAGGGGGTGGAGTTTGTATCTTTTGACTTATGGATGGCAGGACTTCTTGGCACTGAACAAGTTGTCCCCCCGCCGCCTCCCCCCAAAACCCCAACATTTTCACAGGTATGCCATAATAGAACAGTTCACCCGATTATGAATAGGGCTTGAGAGTTGCAGGAAGTGAATTTGTTACCTGACTAGTTTATTGCTTAGAGTAGGGGCCTGAAATATATTTACACGTTAACTGGCAGAGAGACCACGGATTATCCAGATGATACACTGGGATCACCCAACCAAAAGCACATGGAATCCTCAAAACATCTTAGAGTTTCACAGAGAGATGCTGGCTTTGATTTCTGTCAGCACTACCCCAAGCCTCAACCGACAAAAATGCTTTCAGAAACTTAATTCAGAAAAATTCTTACCAGGTCTTGTAACGGGATAGTCCAACTGGTGGAAAAAGTTGATAAACTAATGTAATAGACTGAGAGACTTTTTAAGAGCCTTATATTTTGCATACCATAAAATGCACTAATTTTAAGTGTACAATTGTTTTTGTAAATTCACAGTTGTGCAACAATCACCACAATCCAGTTTTCAAACATTTGCATCACCAACCCCTGCAAATTTCTGAAAGTCTGTTTACAGTTGATCTCTCCTTCCACCTCTAGCTCTAACAACCACTTTTCTGCCTTCTGTCTCTATATAGTTGCTTTTTCTGCACAGTTATCATGAATGGAATCATACAATGTGGCCTTTTGTGACTGGCTTCTTTCACTTATCATGATGTTTTCCAAGTTTATCCAAGTTGTAGCATGTATCAGTACTTCATTCCTTTTTATGAATGAGTAATATTCCACAGTGTGCATATAGAATGCTTATCCACTTATCAGTTAATGGGCATTTGACTTATTTTCAATTTTTGGTTATCGTGAGTAATCCTAGTGAGAAAATTTGTGTGGACGTATGTTTTCAATTCTCCTGATTTCACTAACTTGTGCTGGTGCTTCCCTAACACTCTTAGCGGACCTCTAGCATAACACTTAGCACACTGCCAGTAAGCTTGGATTCATTCTCTGTCTCTCCACTGGAGAGGGCAAGGAACGTGTTCACTTGTACTCTGGTATAGAAGTGGAATTTCTGGGTCATATAGTAACTGTATGTTTAACTTTTTTAGGAATTTACAGATTGTTTTCCAAAGTGGCCGCACCATTTACTATTCCCATCGGTAAATATATGAAGGTTCCATTTTCTCCACATTCTCACCAACTCTTATTTTGTCTGGTATCTCATTATGATGTTAATTTGTC